ACTCTGCTGAAGACAACAACTTTCTGTATGACCAGGTTCTCGAGATACAGTTTATATAGGAAGTTCACATGGAAACTAGCGCTGTTTAGTGAGAGAGTTCTGAAATAGTTTGAACACCATACAAAATGACATGATCACCTAAACATTTTTACTAAAGACAGAAGCCTTCTATATGGCCAGGATTTTGAGATACAGCTTATATACGAGGCTCATGTGCACATTAGCGCTGCGTAGTGAGAGAGTTCGGAACTAATATGGCGACCATTCGAAAGGACTTGGTCACTTGAACAACTTTGCTGAAGACAAAAATTTTATATATGGCCAGGATCACGAAATATTCTATGTTGGATCTAAGATCCATATATTAGAGCGCCCGTCATAAGTAACATAAAAGTGAAGCACCTCTAACGGCGTAGTTCCCAATTAGACCTCAATCCAACGACACGAGCTTGTTGGTCTATTTCAGCACAACAACTTTGTCGAAGACAGTATAGCTATATATATTGAAATAAATGAGATAAAACAACCACAGCCCCTATTCGTGAAAATCCCATAATTTGTGGGTATCCTTATTCACGGTTCATTATCCACGCCTCCGTTACCCCGGCAATAAGGATTCCTGACTGTATATTTTTTCCTTGATTTGTTTTCCGTCGATCATGTTTTCCGTGTTGAGCACCAATGCTACCGACGCATGAACCGGAGACCAACGGCTTTACTTCCCTTCCGAAGGAAGGCGTGATCAGAGATGTTATGCCTCAGAACATCCCGGCGGCGCCAACTGGGATTGAACCCAGGCCTGCTGAGGTGAGAGGAAATCACGCTTACCACTACACCACCGGCGCCGCTCTTTTGACTATAGTGTTATGATGTCCTCGGCTCGGTAAAGTAAAGTCGATTGAGCCTTATCAATTAAATCAATAAACAAAAAAAAATAAATAAAAAAAAATCCAGAGAAATTCCGCAAGTTTTAAAATTTTCAGACATACACTCAAGTCTTTTTATATGGATTTTTTGCACGGTCTTTTTTATACGGTTTTCTTAAATAACGCGGATAATAGCCGAAAAATGTTAAGTGTTTTCTGAGGAATAAGCTTAGCCAAAAAAAAACAAGCTTGGAAGTGGGTTCAGCGGACAATATGGGTATGTATTTTCGGAACGGGGACGACGTGTAAAGGCCGGAAATCTATGATTCGTGCCATTTTGGAATCCAATATGGCGTCTTCCGGTTTGTGAAAAACTGTCAAATAGTCAACAATATGAATATTCTGGGAACGGGGACGACGTGTAGAGGCTGAAAATCGATGATTGACATCATTTTCGAATACAAGATGGCAGCTTCTGGTTTATGAAAAAACTGTTGAATACCCCACAATATGGGTTTTTTAAGAGCTTTTGGAGCTATGTAAACTCGAAGAGGAAAAATTCAACAATGCCTGCAAGCGTTTTTTTCAATGACGTTGAATCGTCGATAGGCGGGGAGAAATGTGAGCTTTTTGCAATCTGGAAAGAGTCATTTATGGTTCCGGTACACAAGAAAGGAGATAAACGTGACGTTAAAAACTACAGAGGAATTACTAATCTCTCTGCAGCATCAAAACTGTTTGAGATAATTGTGAGTGGTTTCATTCTTGAGCACACCAAATGCTATATCTCTAGTGACCAACATGGCTTCATGCCTGGACGATCGGTTACCACAAATCTTCTAGATTTTACCACGACATGTTTTGAGCAACTGGAAAATGGGGCACAAATAGACGTCATCTACACTGATCTAAAGACAGCGTTTGATACGATCAACCATGACATTATGTTGGCAAAGCTATCCAAACTCGGTGCGTCGGACCGTTTGACTTCGTGGTTGTGTTCCTACTTGACTGACAGGTCTCTGCGAGTGAAACTCGATTCCAGTACTTCCTCGTATTTCACGAACTCGTCAGGTGTACCACAGGGTAGCAATCTTGGCCCGTTGCTGTTTGTGTTGTACATCAACGACGCACTTCTTCTACTTGGAGATGGCTGTAAGCTTGCGTATGCCGATGACCTAAAGCTGTACTTCGTGGTGCGGACTGCTGAGGATTGCATTCGTCTTCAATCGGTATTGGATCTGTTCGTTGATTGGTGTCGTCGGAATAAGCTTACCCTCAGCATTCCTAAATGTATGGTAATGTCCTGTAATGTCGTATTACCGCATCAGGCAGCCGATTGTTTTTGACTATGCCATCAACGGTGTGGTTCTTCAAAGAACCAACCAGTTCAGCGATCTTGGTGTTCTACTGGACCATAAGTTGACGTTCAACCTCCACCGCTCTGCTCTGATCACAAAGGCGAATCGCCAGCTAGGTTTTGTGTCGAAAATATCGAAGGACTTCATTGACCCACACTGCATGAAAGCTCTCTATTGCTCACTTGTGCGACCAATCCTGGAAAATGCCTCCTTGGTCTGGTTTCCTCATCAGTTGACTTGGAGCTTGAAGATCGAAAGTGTTCAGCGCAAGTTTATCAGGATAGCATTACGTAATCTACCATGGCGTGATCCGCAAAATCTCCCGCCGTATTCTGATCGCTGCAATCTGCTGAGCTTGGATACTCTGGAATGCCGACGGAAAAATCAGCAAGCAGTTTTTGTTGCCAAGCTATTAAATGGTGAGGTCGACTGCTCGAGGCTTCTCTCGCTGTTGGATATCCGAGTACCACCGAGAACATTACGAAGTGGTACCCTTCTCCAACCGCGGTACCATCGAACGGCGTTCGGTTACAACGAACCACTAACAACTATGATGCGTACGTTTACGGCTGTCGAAGAATTATTCGAATTTGGGGAATCTCCATCTCGCTTTTTGGCTCAGATTAGAAACACTTGAATTGTTTTAGCTTTAAGGTTGTTTCGTGTAGACAATAGTCCGATGAATAAAATTAAATAATAATAATAATAATAATAATAATAATAATAATGTCTAATTGACTAAAAACTGAAATCGGATTCTTCATTCACTAGGTTTCATTACCTTCGACTATTTGGCCAACACCAATTTCAATTCCACTTTCAATTATATTAGGTATTATTGAGGTCATTACCACTTGTTAGAAAACCTCTAGTGCTACATGCGTTCCACAAACAAGTCGCTGGCAATACAAGTTATTAAACATTCAATAGAATTTCATAGAATTATGAGAGGAAAAATCTGAAAATCGTTTATATTTTCGCTGTTTGGCGTGCGATGCTAAACTGCAGCATTCACGATGATCGGAATTTCAAGGAACACCATAATCAGGAAGTTTATATGAACCATGATGTACCCTACTACCAATCAGCGCCTAACTCCGTTCACGTTGGGTTGAAGCGTTGAATATCAAGTCGATTTATTATGAAACATCAGTCAAACTTTATCATGAAGTAGAGATCATTTTCAAGCACACTGTTCAGTATAACGCGGTTTTTTTTTAATAACGCCTGTTAGAGCGAGAAGACAAAAATATCGATGCCACAGTTTTTCTTGTGTGTCCGAAATATTTCCCGTGACGGGCGCGAACATTTGGTCCTTCTAACCGTATAAATGAATTTTCGGACACTTTGTGTGGTGTGTAGTGCTATATGCGAGGATAAATCCCAAATCCTTAGCACGAACAGTTTGTACGGGCTGCTGTTAGCTGGAGCAGCAAACAATAATAAAAAGAACTATGTGTGCGCGAAAGCCGACGGCAATTTAATTGCACGCAATCGGCTCGAAAAATAGTGAAATTTCCCCACTGAACCGTGATATTAAGTGGGCAATACGTCACAGTGTGAAGTGAAAGACTCTCGGCGGCATAGCAAAACGGCTGGCGAAGTTCTTTTATTGGCGATCTCAATACTGCGTTTCGCGGTGCCATCATGATAGAGATCGCGATCACGTACGGCATGAAGCTGCGGCCATTTGGAGGATCTCGACGCGCCAGGAACGAGACGAAAACAGCCACGAGCAACGGCGGACATACTGTTGCAGCATATCATCGGGAAGTACATAGTGCATGTTGTATGATGGCTTGTTGCATGTGGCTACCCGTGGCAATTAATAAATAAATTGGTTGATAATGCATGCGAGTCCTTTTTTTCCTTTTGGTACATAGCCCTGTGGTGTCCGCTAGTTTGTTTTGGTCTCGAAGTCTGCTGGATTTGTCGGCTTGTTTGTCCTCTCTGGTCGATTTCCCCTCGCTGCTGTCGTTTGAGGAGTCAATCTGTCTCTTGAGATCGTGATTTTTGTGGAAAGTCAAGTCGATCGGGAGCCGGCGCCGGTGGTGTAGTGGTAAGCGTGACTGCTTTCTCACCCCAATGGGTCTGGGTTCAATCCCAGCCGAGGTCGGTGGGATTTTTCTGAGGCATAAAAATCTCTGTTCATGTCTTCCTTCTGAAGGGAAGTAAAGCCGTTGGTCCCAGCCCATGTGTGTTTGAATGGGTGCGATATCCTACGCAGGTGTGGAAGCTGCCTTCCAGCACATTCGATTGCCGTCAATGGATGGCAATCGATGTCCGTCGGTGATTGGCACTAGATTGCGGAACAGAGACCGACGTTAAAATAGAGGTTAAAGTCGATCGGGAGTGTTTTGGTGAAAGTGCTGTGCAGTGTACAATATACTGATTAATTACGCCTTTCGTAGTTAGTCAAAGTGCAGTGTAGTGCTGTAAATTACTATCAATGGCTGATTTGAGGACCCTTAGTAAGCGTGAGCGGTGCGTTCTGAATACGTTGGCTGGACTGGAGAATTTCGCGACAAAATATGATCCTGCTAGAGACGAGTGCTATGTCAGCGTACGACTGGAAACGCTAGCGTCAGTTAGCAATGAGTTCTACGAGGTTCGAGAACGAATTGAGCTGTTGATGGACGATGTTGATGATACTGAAGCTGACGAGGAAACGTAGGAGAAGGAAAATCTGCTAGCTTTGAGTAGTTTCGAGGAGCGATATTACTCCGTGAAGGCCAGTTTGTTGTCAAAGCAGACCTCACTTTCATCTACATCGATGTCTGTTGGAAATGGTCAACTTGGTGACCGATCCGAAGCATCATTCTCGACGGTTAAACTTCCAGAAATTCGGCTTCCGTCGTTCGGTGGTAGAATTAAGGAGTGGGCTACGTTCCGGAATAGTTTCCGCAGCCTGATCCACGAGAACAAGCAACTAACCGATATGGACAGGTTCAGCTATCTGAAGTCAGTCCTGTCAGGAGAGGCCCTGCAGGAGATCGAGTCGGTGGAGCTTTCGGCAGTGAATTACAGCGTAGCGTGGAAGGCACTTGAGTCCCGCTACGAGAACAAGAAGCTGATTGTGAAGGCACATCTGGATTCCCTTTTTGCCGTGGCTTAAAGGCTTAAAGCGATAAAGCTACGACAGACTGAGCAATCTCATCAGCGCTTTCAAAAAGAATCTACAAATGCTAAAGAAGATCGGCGAAGAAACTACTGCATAGAGTACGATTCTCACATACATGGTGTATTCCCGACTGGATCCTGCCACTCTACGGCAGTGGGAAACATACCGTAACTCAAAGCGTGTACCGACGTACGAAAACCTAATCAGTTTCCTTCGATGTCATTGTGCAGTGCTGCAATCCATCGCACCAACGAAGCCGGCGAGCCAGTCTGATCAACGGTCGTTGAAGTCATCCGTGTGTCAAACTACCATGAGATCTTCAAGCAGGTGCCCATTTTGCAGTGGATCGTGGCATTCTGCATTCATCTGCAGCAAATTCCAACGTCTTCAAATTCCCGAGCGCAGTGAAGCTGCGTTCAAAGCAAGGTTGTGCCTGAATTGTTTGAGTCCTGGCCACATCGCACGAAACTGCGAGAAGGGTGTATTTCGTCACTGTCAACAGAAGCACCACTCCCTGCTGCATGGTGCACCAGCTAGATCCTCCGTTCCACAGTCGCAATCAAATCCTCCGACACAAACCAGACGGCAGTCACAATCCAAGCCAACAAACTTGAACCAACAGACAGACAACGCTAGTACCAACACATCCACCACATTGCAAGGACAAAGCACTCAATCAACAGCCACTTCACCACTAGCCACAAAACAACCTCACACACACCTCCCTCGATTCATGACGTCTATAGGACTAGGTTCATAAAAGCGTGGATCAGCTAAATATGACGATTCCGGAAGCTTCCAGCCACTGATATCGCAGATTGCAATCGGTAGTGACACAGTCAACTGTGAGAGGACATGGAACTGCATATCTTCCACGAACGATGCAATGCGATACAACCTCGGCCTTTTTACAGCACTGATGAGTTTTGTTGAAATGCTCGTAGATGAGCCGCTCCCTTAGACATACAGATACGACGGCGATTCGTGAAACTGAAGTTTGCTTGAAAACTCTTTCGTTATCAGGCAATGCTGAAAACACGAGTCTAGCAGCGCTTGTGCCAGCATGGAATTGCCGTGACGGTCATTGACTTTTTTTTTATACCGGGGGGAATCTGCTCCCAGACTCCTGAGAAGATAACTCAGGGTGTGGGGATGGGAGAAATAGCTCTCCCGACCCACTAAACCTTACCCTGTGCTCTAGGCCCTTGCCCTCCCCGGAACCGCCCGAAAGCATTACGCCATGGGAGGGGGCCGGTTGCGCTATGGCGCATCACTTGGTGTTGTGTCCGACGTGACACTCGCTACTGCACAGTGAGCAGCTGTGCAGGGCCTTCCTCTTATTGTTCGCTGTTCGTTGTTTGCCCGAGTTCAAGAGCAGACGTGATAGCCAGCCAACTGTCCAACAGGGCAGCTTAGGACAGATGTGACTGCTTACCAGCTGCGTGTGCTAAGCACTCTAAGAACCCGGCGTCACTCCTGCCTTTGCACAACGAGGGTTTGTGCAGGGCTTCTCAACCTCCTGGGATGAGCTGGATGGGGCTCCAGCGTCCTTACTCTGCGGTAGTTCGTTTAGCCGCAATATCTCTCCCTTGGCTTCGATAATTAACGTTTCCAGGGCACACCACGAGGAGGCGAACTACTTCATGCCCCCGGTCATTGACTTTGACTGACTTGTTCCGGTTTACTACTTGCTACTCCTGGCTACTCCATTTTCGTTCTCTCCATTCCGAGGTACACTACACCTACCTGAAACGACCGACGACGACAATAAAGCTGGGTTTAGACAGGGCAAGTCAATTGATCAAGTCAGTTGAATTCAATTGACTTGAAAAGTTGAGTCTGGTTCAACTTTTTTCAATTCACATGAGTTGATCAAGTCAGTTGAATGACATGGTTTACACGTTCAATTCGCGTTCAAGTCAGTTGAATTCAACTGACTTAATCAATTGACTTGCCCTGTCTAAACCCAACTTAACGGTGGAAATCCAGCGGTTTCTTCAAAACAGCATCACAGTTCCATCAAAACAACAACAGCAACAAGCGAAAGCATCACCATGTTTAACAGCACCAACAAAGAACAACAACTGAAGCAATTCAGCAGTATCCAAATGTAGGCCAAGGTGTTTTGTTTGTAAGCCGCGAGTTTTTCATGAGTGTCCGAAAGATTTTCCGTAACGGGCGCAAACAACACGGTTTCTTGTACACGGTTTTATGAAAAATTGCGGTTATTTTAAATGGTGGTTTTTAACACGGTACGTATCCCCGTGTTAAAAAGATCTGAATGTATTTTGGAAACTTTATAGAAGTTCAGACATTTTCTGGGAAGCTTAATGTTTTTAGACTTGTTTCGTTAATTTCAGGGTAGTACCAAGATCTTCTGGAGAATTTCAAGAACTTCCCGGTAGCAACCTCAACCTAACTTCAAGAAAATTGAAGGAACTTTTCCGAAATTAAAAAAAAATTCTGGGAATTGACGAAATCTTCCAGAATTATCCAGGATTTTCCGGAAAATTCAGAGCACTTCAGAAAGCTTCAAAAGAGTTCAAAATTTTTTAGGAAGTTGCATTACTTTTGGGATGATCCGACTATTCTTATGAAAATCAGACAACTCTAGAGCAGCTCCATTACACCGTTCGAAAAATTCATGTAAATTTTTGCGAGATATAGCGCACATAAAATTAACGCTAGATTTGGCATAAATTTACACGATATTTCGTGAAAACTTAGGCGCATAATCGCATAAATTATCAATATGGTAGGCAAGCTTGTAAACGATTTCGTTGTTTATGCCAAGTATAGCTCAAAGTTAATCGAAGAGAGGTTCTACGCGATAGTTATTATTCAGAATTTTTTCTATGTATTTATAAACTCTCATGAAAAGCCAATAAAAATGACGATTAAAAGTGTAGTGAGAAATGAGAACCGAATTCTGATACTTAATTTGAAAATAATTCGTTTTCGGGCTACTATTGATTGTGAAAGATTCTGCTGGAACCGAAGCTGTTTGAACAAAAACGATTAACCACACTTGCCACACAATAATACTAGTGCAAAAATGGTTCAGGATTACACAGCTCTCAATTAACAACTCTGGAACTGCTGAAAGAACACCAAGTTGAGGGTCAGCGTAAAGTCCCAGTAGGGACGTAATAAAGCCAAGTAATAAGCAGAAGAAGCTTTGATAACATTGAAACACAGAAGCAAACCTCCCTCCACTGTCCGGTGGAACTTAGTGGCTGTATTAAAAACGTTGACATTTTTCACTTTCCCACCGCAAAGAACCTTCTCGCTTGAGGACTACTCCTCTTGTCACGCTGCTAGAAATATAGCCAGTGTAAGTATTCAAAGTTCAAAAATTAAGATTAAGTGGCAGCAGTCTAGTAGCATCGCCTGCTGAACGTGACCGCAGTAATCCGAAGCCGAATGAAATATCGCCGCACCAGAGCTCTGCAGAGTCAGAGACCATTATGGTGCTTAAGCCCATAAACATGTCTCCAAAAATGCATCCTCGTCACCCTGTAAAGTGTCCCAAAGCGAAATTTACGACCCTGTCCACATTATTCATATCCCATTTCCCTACATATGACACATTCGGTCCGTCATCATCCGCAATCCAGTGAACGCCTTGCTGACCCTACACTATCCAGAAAACTGTTTACGATCTCTCAATCGACGTTATTTATGTCGTTACATTATGAAACATGCCGATAAATGCGAACTAGGTCCGTACCATCGTCGTCGTATAAATCCTTTCCCGAAGGGAAGATCTATCGAAATCGATTGACGACAGTTCAGCCCAAATCCCCCGAAGGGGGTATTAAATCAGAACGGGTCATAATTTTCACTTTTGAAACTGGAAGCCAAAAACGCCATCAAATCGGAATGTTCACAGGGCCACAGGACCAGCATTAGTGTGGGATGGGTGGGAGTTTGTGCTCAAGAACGATGGCACTTTCGATAGTAAATCTGTCGCACCTCGGCTTTGTTTTACATTCATTCATAAAGAGACGCTTACTGCCGGAGGGTGGTTGCATGCAGGTAGTTGCTTGGTGGTGAGAAAGTGTGGAATCTATCGAAGAAGGGTGGTAAATGGTGGGACTCGGTGATAAATTTTACGATCGACGGTAATCGGTGTTGTGGGTGATCCGGAGGCTGATAAGACGAAGGTAGTAAACTTGGGAGTTTTGCAATTTCAGGATTTTTGGTTAGGTTCGTTAAATAATGCAAGGTGTTGGATGTAGAACACTGTATTTGTCTAGTAAAACGTACGCCACCGATTCACTTCACGGACTACAGATCCAACCATGAATAGGTAATAAATTAATTAGGATTCAATTATTGGTGTATCGAACTGCATCTGACAGCATACATTACCAGAGGGCGAGCCACCTTGGATTGGCTGGTGGAAACATTTATTTTGAATTAAATAGATCGATAATCGCGTCTATATTTTTTTCTCCAAACAAATCACAAGTTTTCTTTTGCCATTCGAGGGGTGGGAGGGGGAAAAACATTCAATATTTGTTTTACATCACATTTAAACCGGAGTTGGTTGGAAATGCTATCTAACATGAAGCTTTAGTGTGATAATTTATTAGCTAGAGAATGGTCTTTAGAAGAGGGTAGGTAGATAATTCCGTTAGAGTACGGCAGTATGAAAATTGAATGGAAGTTGAAAATTACCAAAAGGCCATTAATGCGACAGTACAAAGTCAAACGCACACCTTTTGCCTAACCCGTACGATGTACGGGGAGATTTGAAGTATGTCTTCAAATCTACAGGCAAAAGGTGTGCGCCCGCCTTTGCTCATTACTGTCTGCGGCTGTGGAATAGTTCTAGCGACGTTTCATCATTTTGCCTGTAGATTTGAAGACATACTTCAAATCTCCGCGTAAATCGTACGGGTTAGGCAACAAGTATACGTTTGACTTTGTACTGTCGCATTAATGGCCCTTCGCTCATTTTCAACTTCTAAAGGGTGATACGGTCAAAA